GGAGCCCACTCTGTTTTTTTTCCCCCCCAATTTCTTTTTGTAATTGCTGGCAATAGGTTTTATTATACAGGATTTTTAATAGCCCCAAAAGTTTGCTCAGCACTTTACAATATAAAGGGAGACAATACAGCAGCAATACAGTTCAATACAAGAGGGTTAGGAGGGCCCTGCTCCTCAGAGCTTACAATCTAAGAGGGAGGGGCTGGTGGTACAAAGGGTAATAAGTGTGGGGGATGGACTGGTAGGAGGAATAGAAGATTCCGTTATTAGCTGAAGGCAGGATAGGCTTTCCTGAAGAGATAGGTTTTCAGAGATCACATAGACGTGGGCAGAGTAGGCAATAGTCGGATAGACTGCAGTAGAGAGTTCCAGAGGATGGGGGAGGCTCTGGAGAAGTCCTGGAGATGAGCATGGGAAGAGGAGACAAGGGAGATAGAGAGCAGGAGGTCATGCGAGGAGCGGAGAGGACGGCTTGGGTGATATTTGGAGACAAGATTGGTGATGTAGTTTGGAGCAGTGTTTATAAATGGTTTTATTTGTTATTGTTTTGAATTTTATTTGTAGGGCAATGGGAAGCCAGTGGAGGGATTGGCAGAGAGGGATGGCAGATATGGAATGGTTAGTAAGGTGGATAAGTCTGACAGCAGCATTCATGTTAGACTGAAGAGGGGATAGCCTGCGATGGAGGTAGGCCAATGAGGAGGGAGTTACAATAGTAAAAGCGAGAGATAACCAGGGAGTTAATAAGTTGCTTAGTGGTTTCAGAGGTTAAAAAACAGTCATATCTTGGAGATGTTGCGGAGGTGAAGTCTACAAGGTATGGGCAGTGATTGCATTTGGGGCTGAAAGGACAGATGGGAGTCTAGGACTACACCTAGTACCCTGGAATGAGGGGACTGATGGTTGTATTATTGATCTTGATAGAGAAGTCAGGGGAGGGGGCATGGGCTGGAGGGAATAGTATGAGCTACATTTTAGAAAGCTTGAGTTTAGGGAAGTGAAATGACATCCATTCTGATATGTCACTTAGTAGGTTAGTGATGAGAGAGGAGACTGAAGGGGTGAGGTGAGCAGTAGAAAGATAGATGTGTGTCATCAGCATAGAGATGGTACTTAAAGCCATGGGAGTTTATCAAGGGAGGAGGTGTAGATGGAGAATAGAAGGGGTCCAAGGACAGAACCTTGAGGGACCCCTACAGAGAGGCAGTGGAGAGTAGGAGACTGCTTTATAGGTAATGCTGAAGGAGCGCTGCAATAGGTAGGAGAACCAAGAGAGCAGAGTCTCAGAGGCCAAGAGAGTGGAGTTTTTTGGAGGAGGAGATGGTCAACAGTATCAAAAGCCATAGAGAGGTCAATGAATAGTGGCCATTAATTTTAGCAGCTAGTAAAGTGTGAAAAAGTTAGTTAGGTGTGAGGAAAACAAAAAACCCCACACAAAATGCAGCCATAAAGTGCATCAACCACAAACTGCATAGATGTGAACCAGGGAAGAAAAAGAAAAAAAAAAAAAAGAAGACTCATGTAGTAGACTGGCACAAGGCACCTTTTACAGTTGGCCACTGTGTGTATTATGTGCACCAGATGGGAAAAATTGTACCACATTTTGTAAAGTGCCAAACAGTGAGCCGTGTATCTAGTAATGTGCCATTATGGGGCTACACAGTGGCTTAGGGGGTCAGCATGTCTGCCTTGCAGTAAATGGGTCATGGGTTCGATTCCTGACCATGGCACCTCCTGCATGGAGTTTGCATGTTCTCCCTGTGCTTACGTGGGTTTCCTCTAGGTACTCTGGTTTCCTCCCACACTGCAAAGACATGCTGGTAGGTTAATTGGATCCTGTCTAAAATTGGCCCTAGTATGTGTATATATGGATGTGAGTTAGGTACCTTGGATTGTATGCCCCTTGAGGGTTAGGGACTGATGTGAATGTACAATATATAAAGCACTGCGTAAATGGATGCTATACAAGTACCTGAAATAAATAAATTATGGCGCCTACTGCATAAGAAAAACTAAATGGAATTTATGGAAAAGAATACACATTCATATTTATGTTCTCTATTGGCAAACTAAACCAGTAAGGAGACATTTTGCCTCATCATAGTTGAGGGCCTCTCACCTATAATACTGAATAGATTCCACCAATTGTAGGGGGAAATTTCAATAAAATACTACAATAAGGAAGTTCAGTTGATTTTCAATTTGAAGGGGGTATTCCCCCAAGTCATGACTAAATCAGCTTTAAAATCTTGTGTTTTTTATATTGTGAAGCTTAGGTTCATTCTTCTGTATATATAGTGATGGTGGATGTAAAGATAAAAATTTGTAGTGTTATTTTATATTGTAATGCTGTTACAACATAAAATCAGATACACTACAAAGATTTCACCTTGATGTAACTAGATAGTGCTCTAAGACTACATTTAGCTTGTGCCCGTTTGAGATTTTTTGCTGTAGCCTCTGGTCAACAATCATGTTTCTAATTTTTCAAATCCAATATTAGTAGTAGAGTTGCTTTTATCCCTAGGTATTGCACAACTGGTATGATCCACATTAGTTTGAGAGGACTACTAGCATGCAGTATCACATTACCTAACATTGTTTCAATGTAGCAAGATAATCCTCCCATCAGTTCTTTACTTTTATATCAAGAAAGGGTCATTCATATTTATTGGTCACTAATGACAAGCATTTTTGTTCAGAAATTAACCAAAACCAGATGTGATAGTGTGTTTCAGGGAGGAACTGAAAAGGGCAGCATAGCACAGAACAGGAGTTCTCTGCTGTGTAGACAAGGCAGTGGATATTGGTTAGCAATGTGCACACACTCCTGGACCCAAGTGTTAGGCATCCATTGTCTAAGTAGGTACTGCTGGGCAATAACAGGTGGCAATGATGGGGCTACACTGATCAGGGTAGATAAGGAATGCCAATTACTGGTTCTCCTTACAAGCTGACAACTCATGAGGAGAGAAATGCCAATAACTGGTATTTCTTTATTTACATGCAATCAGCTGTGATTGGACAGCTGATCACATGATAGAGCCAAAGTCATCAGCTCTTTCCCAGGGACACAGCACACCAATGATCACTGTGTGCCCCCTGAGGCATGCACATGCAGTTAGAGTGGGAGGATGTCATATGACATCCTCCCACAATGAGAACTACCGCGCTCCCATCATTTCCTTATATGGTGGGCGGGAGGCTGTTAAGTTAATCAGACCTTTTCCTTGTATAGCCTTTTAACCAAAGTTGAAGCATTCTTAAACATTTGCAAGGCTAACTTAAGGAAATATGTAATTTACCAAGCAGTAGGGCAGGTGACACTCCCGTTTCCCTCCTCATTGGAGGCCAAGTGTTGGTTGCATGAGAAGCCTACCCCAGGGCGAGATCTTCTGGGCCACACTGGGCACTTTGCCCCATGTTTAAAGGTGAGTGACCCTGTTCACTTTGGCACTCACCAATGCCCCTGATCAAGGCAGGGGTTGCTTTCAGGGATAACATCCTTAAGGGGGAACCCCAACTTTAGGGATGGCTGTACAGTTACCTCTTGTCTGTCAGTCAATGTACACCTTCACTAACATTTAGGAGGGACATGCTGCGCCTATGCCCAGTCCAACTGCCTAGTGGATCTCCACTACTTCACACCCAGTAATGGACCCCCCCCCCCCCCCCCAGTGCAGACTATATGTGCTCTGTTAACTTCCATACTTGTGCACAGGCTGAGGACCTCTGCACTGCTGATCTGGTTTCATTGCTAGGGGAGACAGTCCACTCAAACATCTCCCTTGCTGCAAGAGGCTGTCAGAGGCAAACACTTAACAGGCTGCTTGTGAAACCTTCATGACCCTCACTAACCACTCTTTACTCCACACTTCTGTAGTGCCATCTCATACCCCAATGTGGTTTACTGACCTACACTGTAGACTGTAGTGCCAGTTACTTGCACTCACTCCATACTAACACAGCCATCCAAAGCAGGGTGCTTACAGTGAAGCACACAGCCTTTAGTAAGAATGCTCCCTGGAAGTCCCTGCACACTGTTAACCCTTTGATTTCCCCTCATTAACCCATTCTTGCCCAGTGCCATTGCTTGTTTTTTTGTGGTTAAACACATGGTATGTCAGGGTAGCATTTGTTTATTTTGCCCATAAATTCACTGACCCCCTTAAAGCCTGACAGATGCTTACAGCCAGGGTTTTTGGGCTACATGTAGTGTACTGGGTGTGCCAACATCTTCTGGTTACCACTTACACAAAGCCAGTGGACAGGCAGCTGTTCAGATATCACTGACTGGTGGTCAGTGCATGCACAACTGGAAAGGCCACCACATCTCTGGTGTTAAGTATTTCATTTTAAAAAGGCCGGCTCTTAGCTAGAAGGGAATGCCAATGAACAAGTTCAAAAAAAAAAAAAAAAAAAAAAAAAAAAACACAATTAGCATCTAGGGAGTCACTGAACCACCATTTGTTTACATGCTCTTCCACAAGCTTACTGGGAACCCTGTCACAGTTTTAGTCCTGTAGTAGATAACCCCTTGCATTAGAGGAAAAAAAATAGTTTCTAGTATCATCCAGAAACCAGAGTAGCTATAGAAGTTTGCATAAACATCTCAAAAAAGTTAACTTAAACTGCATTTATTTTAATTGCCATGTAAAAAGTATGCTTAAAGCACAGCTTAATACAAGAACACATAATAGAACAGAGATACAAGAGACATTAAAAAGTTACAAACACACATGTGTACATCATATACTTTATACATAATGTGCAGTGCCACCACTTCTCTGCAGTGGTTAGTGGGTAATAAGCCATGGTGTTCCCTGTAATTAGCAGTCACCATATTTCTATATTGCAGTAACTTCTATAGTGCCAACTGAAAGCCAAATCCCATCACCATATGTTAGAGTATCTTGCATCAAGTCTTTCCTGTAGTTGGGAAGCAGTTGTGTTGATCCTGAACCCACTTTGCCTTTACATAAAGCACAGCATCATCCAGTTTAGCAGCTGAGTTTAGAAGTAGGCATATACCCAGCATCACCAAGCATCCTTAGAGTTACATGACCATCATGGTGAATCACAAGTTCAGTAATGCTGCCATGATTTAGATCCATGCGTAACCAAGCTTCAGGAGGCAGCTGAAGAGCCCTAGGAGGAGGAAGAAAGTTTAGTAGTTTCCTAAAAACAGAGACCAATTGGAACACATACACTATGTATAGACACTTGCTGCACCCCCCCCAAAACCCTAGATCATGTCCCAAATTCTACACCATCTAGAAACAATGACCTCTTGCTGCTTTAATGTGAAGTTTGTTCTATGAAAAAAAGGTTTAAAAAAAAAAGATAGAAACATCTGTTTGAGTTAGAGCCTGCCAGTGCTGCACGATCTAAACACCAGTTTATGTAAATGCACACATTTTTATGCGATAGTGGAATGCACCACCCTGGAACTACATGTCCAGTGTGGAACAAAAAGCAACCTTTAGCTGAACAGAAGTACACTGCCAATACAGTCACCACTTTCACAATCCTGTTCTAGCAGTCAGTCCAAGGAGACCTAATGTATCTCCAGCATACCAGTGTGACTAGTATCAGGCTGCAAGGATCACTCATTTTGATGTGCGTACACCCAAGGGAAAACAAAAAAGCCACATATCACAAGCATCTTAACATACAAAATATAGAATGTTTACCATTTTGCTAGACATCAAAAGGAGATGCAGTTTCCCCCTTACCTGCATACAAGGTAGCGGATAACATTGTCATGGCACACTATGATCTCATAACTCTCATCTCTCTGCTCATGGTCTGCACGGTGAATAAAGGTTCTAAAAGCAGATTCTATACGTGGTCCATCCTCAAAATACTGAAGAGAAATTTCCAGATCAGATAAAGCATTTAGCAATGACCAAATTACTTTAGAAGAGCACAAGCTAATTCAAAGTCTCAAATGCATTGCATGTAATGATTGGAGAATGGAGTGGGAGACTTAAATGGTCTTAGTCCTTGCTGGAAGGATGATTTACTGGTACCACATTCCTTACAACTGCAGATAGTTTTATAACAATTACCACTTTGTGCTATTAGGAGCAATATTTTGGTGGCTCATTTTTAACACAGCAAAAACACAGCCTTTCCCAGATTAATACTTTGCAAGCTGCTGACTCGTGGGACACAGCCTGCTTCTTCAGGGAGACAAAGCATATTTCAGTTGGTGATTAGTGACTTCTATTGTTCAGTATGGTACCTTCAAAACAATTAGTTTTTTTAGTTAGGGCCCCTATCTGCATTGCAAGTTATGCCTTAGGGGGGAAGTAGTAAAATTTTCCTTCGTCTAATGCAGGCGACACCTTGCCAGCTACAAATCCTTTAAAGTGTTATTAAACCCAGGACTCTATATGATCTCCCACAGTACACTACATGGAAATGCGATTTTAGTAAATTGCCAAATACCTTCAGTAGTATATAGCAGTCTTGTGACTTCTATCAGGGTCCAGCTGAGCACTGGTTAAAGCTTGGAGTTCATTCTGCTCCAAGAATCATGAGGCTACATAACCCAACCCCCTGTCTGAACAGTGCTGATCACATGCACCCTCCCAAAAACCTACACACTAAACTGAGCATGTGCAGAGCGACTCCTAGCTCTGTACTAGATGGATTAGGGACATTAGAAGGGGATGATCAGAGAAGACAGGATCACAATGCCTTTACACAATGGAGGATTAACCCTTTAAGTTTCACAGCGAGTATGGGAATTTAGTAGCACTTTAAAGTTGTTAGCCAATGAGGAGAGGTGGGGCCAAGCCACAGCTCCATGTGAATGGACACAGCAGCTGGTGCCCCCATAGCAAGATGCATGCTGTGGGGGACCTGAGAAGGAGGATTGACTTCTGTGCAAAACCACTGCACGCAACAAGTATAGGCATGTTGGAGTTTTTTGGAACATTGCACAAGATGTACTACCCTGGTGGAAAAAAATAAAATAAAAAAAAAGTCATACCTCAAAGAAACCATGGCAATAGCCTTTGTTTTGTGAAGTGCCCACTTACTCCCTAAGAGATTGATATAGTTTAATAAGCTATAGATGTGTACTGTTACAGGTCTAACACCTAGTACTGCAGAGGCATTAGCTGGAGTTAGTTTTCACATGCTGAAACTGCCATACCCACCTTAATAGCTGCTCACTTTCCATACAAATAAAAAGTTTCCAACCTGATAACACATACAAGTCCATAAAGTCACAGGTTCAGTGCTGATATTTAAGGCTCACCACAACATCTGGTTTCCAGTCAGAACTTTCTGGATCTGGTCTAATGGGAGCCCCTTCTCTTAGCAAGTCAGAACCAGTTAGTTTCATGTCTGTAAAAAAAACACAAAGGTTGTGTCCCTATTTTAGTACAATGTATGCATATTAGTGTACAGACTAGCTACCAGCCTATTGTCTACCATCATATCCTAGATCTGGTGCATGTACAGTCATTCCTGTTATCACAAGATATGTAGGGCAGCTGTATTGGAGTGGTTACTTTGTCAATTTCAGTACATGGGTGTCCTATAGTGTTTTTCACCTTGTATGTGGACTTTATTACCCATTTAAAATGGCATAGCAACATTCTGCTGGATCTTAAGCCTCTGTGGGTTAGCCTAGAGCCCTTCCAAACTGCCACCTCCACAAAACCCAGGCCAATTATACTGGTACGCACTTGCAAAACCTGACACTTTCCCTTCTACTCTAGAAAAGCAGTAGTGTCCATAGGAGTGGCTGGGATATTTTGGGTTTGTTCACTTTTGGAAAAAAAAAAAAAAAAAAAAAAAAAAAAAAAAAAAAAAAAAAAACACCCCCTGGCTTTCTGAATTCTGCTAATCCAGTCATTTCACATACTTACTCCCCAGATGCTGGCCAATTATTTCTGATGTCTCTTTGGCCCTTTGCAACGTAGAATAGGTCATCTCATTGTAAGTGTAGCCCAAATTAGCAAGGCGTTGACCAGTTAAGTTAGCCTGCTCACGACCTACAGCATGAAAACACAGTGAGAAACAAGAAATTGATGAGGGGACCTGATATATGCAATCCTGTAGCCAAGCTAATGTAACAGTTTAGCACAAAGTCAATACCATATCTTCATACAAGATACTTATGAGGAATGCTTTCAGAAGAGGAGATTTGGGATCAAGCTTTGTCAGATCTCACTGGAAGGCCCATGACCCTTACCTAGCGCTGCAGGTAGAAGCTGGAGTTTAAAGAACAAACATTCCTCCTCCCCCCACATTTCATTGGTTTTTGTAATGGTAATTCAGTCTTGAATTTAAATAGTTGGCTTTTAACCTGAGCACTCAGTCACTGTCTTCTCAACTGCAAAAGAACAGGCAAGTCAAAAGCTTAACCACTTCCCTAACAGGCACTTATACCCCCTTCCTGCCCAGGCCAATTTTCAGCTTTCAGCACTGTTGCACTTTGAGTGTCAATTGCACAGTCATGCAACACTGCACCCATATGAAATGTTTTCACAATAATAAGTTTTGGTGGTGGTATGTACTCTCCACTGGGTGTTTATTTTTTGCGCTCAGAGAAAAAAAAATTTGTTTCCATTATAAAATTTTGCAAACTGGTAATGTTTCTCCACTAATGTGCAATGAGGTTACACTGATATGCAATGATGGGCACTGACTGATTGCGCTGCTGGGCAGCACTGATCAGTGCCGATCCCTCTGACAATTGCCAGTTAGCAAGACTTTCCTCATGCTGTCAAAGTGCAGCTGATAACAGGCAATGCCTTTTACTAGTGATCTGCAGTGTTAAGCATGGCTGATCACGTGGTAAAATGCCACTGTCTGTAGGACACAGTGATCATGGAGATCGCCGGGTGAGCACCCCCGGAGGCAGTCATGACTCCCTCCCAGAACTGGCTGGCCGTGGTGAAGCTGTCATTTGGCTATCTGGTCAGCAAGTGGTTAACTGCAGTCATCTAAATGCCATGTAATCTGGCCATTCATAAAATGGCTCCTGTCAAGCTGTACATCTTTAATTGGTAGTACAGACAGGTCTAGGGTGTGCTCTGCTAATGTAGGACAGACAATGGTGCAAGTGACTGCATTTTTCTGATGCGCAAGACTAACAGGGCAGACTTTTCCTGCTGCAAGGGTTGTCAACACTACAATTGAAACTGGTTTCAGCTACCAAGATTTAACAGAATTCATGGTCAATACATAAAGGAAACCTGAAAAATTATTTACAAGAGCCCATCTGCATGGATCTCTCCTTGTACTGAGTCTAGATCAATTTCCAAGAACCAGAGCAGGGGAGCAACAAGGACAGAGTGATCCAAGCCAGTTCCTCAGCAGCAGCTTCTGCTGTCAAAACTGAAAGGCTGACTAATCCCATAGTCTCAAAGCTACAATCCCACAGACCTAGGGACAGTATGCGCACCAAGGACTCATCTGGCTACACATGCACTGAAAGAAAACCCTCCTTCAGACAGAGGAGTAAAAAAATGCAGTTATTTACCTGTTAACTATTTCCAGGAATCTTCTAGGACAGCTCACTTGAGAGATAGGGCTCCTCCCAGGAAAGACCCGCTCCACCTTTTTTCCCCCCTTTATAGGCGTCCTCTCTCTCCATTGGCCCCCAGTATAAGAATATGACCGAAGACCTAGGAGAAAGCAAAGAAGAAAACCTGTAATAAAGATATCCCCTCATAGGTTCGCAACATACCTGAACATAAATGTGTGATCATACAGTAATCGGGGGGGGGGGGAGTTACACTGTCCTAGAAGAATCCTGGAAATACAGTTAACAGGTAAATAACTGCGTTTTCCCTAGTCATCTTCTAGGACAGCTCACTTGAGAGGAGTAGAATAGAAATACGTACATTAGGGTGGGCACCCTGCTTGTAGGACCTTCCTGCCAAATGCCTGGTCTTTGCTGCTGATCAGATCCAGTCTGTAATGCTTAGTAAAGGTGGAGAAACTGGACCACGTTGCGGCTCTGCAGATCTGTCCGGGGGAGGCCCCCCTTTTTCCACCCAGGAGGCCACGGAGGCCCTCGTGGAGTGTGCTTTTAGGCCGGGCAGTGGCGACAGGCCCGCCGTCTTGTAACCTTCCGAAATTGCCTCTCTGATCCATCTTGTGATGGTGCCCTTGGAGGCACCTCCCCCCTTCCTTGGGCCCTGGAATAGGACGAAAAGCCGGGACGAGTGTCTCCATGTCTTTGTGCGTTCGATGTATGTAATCAAACTTCTAACCTGCTATAGTTCTCCGTGCTGCCCGGATCAGCCTCAAGGGAAGGTATTACTATTTCCTGAGATCTATGGAAATGTGACGTGACCTTAGGTAGAAAGGCCGCGTCTGTGCGGAGGATGATTCTATCCAATAAGATGGTGCAGTACGGCTCAATCACTGATAGGGCATGCAACTCGCTAACTCTGCGGGCAGAAACTAATGCTGTGAGGAGGATGGTTTTAACAGTCAAAGATCTGAGCGAACACTCATCCAGCGGTTCGAAAGGCCCTTGCTGAAAGCTCTTCAGGACTGTGCCCAGGTCCCATGTGGGGTATTTTGGCATGGACGGGGCACGGCGCCTGGAGATAGCCTTCAGGAACCTGATTACTAATGGGTCTGCCGCCAACCTCAGCTCCAGAAAGAGTTCGACAGAGCCGCTACCTGTACTTTGAGGGTATTGGCGGCCAGAGATTCTTATCCGCCCCGGCTTGAAGGAATTCAAGAACTGTATGCAAAATGGGGGCGCCCGGTGCCTCGTTTCTGACCTTCCAGATGGAAAATTTCTTCCAGACTTTGTCGTACAAGGCGTTTGTTGACCTCTTCCTGCCATCCAAGAGGGTGGCGACCACTTTTGCCGACAGCCCCTTTTCCACTAGCCTGTCCTGCTCAGAAGCCATGCCACTAAGGACAGCCTTTCTGGATGAGGATGCAACACTCTCCCCTGGGTGAGTAAATCGCGTGTGGGTGGTATAATCCATGGGTCTGCTAAACTTAGCTCCTTCAACCGGGAGAACCATGATCTCTTGGGCCAGAACGGCGCAATCAGAATAACTTTGGCTTGAGACAACTGGATCTTCTGTACCACCTTCGGCAGTAGTCTGAATGGAGGGAAGGCATAAAGGAAGTCTCCTTCCCACTGCTGGGGCTAGCGCATCTATCCCTGCGCTTTTGGGGTCCTTCTGCAGGCAGAAGTACCTCTCCCGCTTTGTATTCTGGCTGTTGGCGAAGAGATCCGTAGAGGGGGAGCCCCACCTGGCGCATATCTGATTGAATGCTGAATGGCTGAGGCACCATTCTGTCTGGATGACCTCTCTTCGGCTCAGCTGGTCCGCCAACTGGTTCAGGTCCCCTTTCAGATGCACTGCCGTGATGAACTCTAGGTTTTCCTCCGCCCAGCTCAGGAGGGATCCGGCCAACTCCATCAGCCTTGGGGACCTTGTGCCTCCCTGCTTGTTCAAATATGCTACTGCTACGGTATTGTCGGAGAGAATCTGGACACCTCTCCCCCTTTATCTTTTCCCGAAAGGTCGTAAGTGCCTTGAAAACTGCCAACAGCTCCCTGTAATTTGATGACTTGCTTGAGTCTACTGCACCCCACGTGCCCTGGGCCAGGCAGTCTTCCATATGGGCGCCCCAACCAGTCATGCTTTGCATCCGTGGTGATCCTCACTGGGCTGGCCAGCCTCCAACTTCTTCCTCGTTCCAAGGTGAGGATGTTTCCCCACCACCTTAGCGATTCCCTCACCTCGTGAGTGATGCGGATCCTGGAACTCAGACCTGCTCGGCTCCCGTCCCAGTGGGAAAGGGTGTGATTTTGCAGAACCCTGGAGTGAAGTTGCGCCCATTGCACCCCTGGTATTGCTGCTGTCATCCTCCCAATTATCCTCATCACGGTCCTGACCGTGCAGGTCGACATCCTCCGGAGGGCCCTTGTGTCCTGCCGCAGTTTGAGGGCTTTTTCTGATGTCAGGTACGAGCGGGCATGTGCGGAGTCCAGGACGTACCCCAAGTACGTAGTCCTCCTGGAGGGGGCTAGCTGTGACTTTTGTTGATAAGCCACCCCAAACTTTCCAGAAAAGATATCGTACGTTCGATGTGGGATCTCAGGCCTCCTGTGTCCGAAAATAAAAGCAGGTCATCCAAATAGGGATGATGTTTATCCCTTCCAGTCTCAAGACTCTTAAAGGCTCAGCTAGGATCTTGGTAAATATCGTCGGGGCTGACGACAGGCCGAAGGGGAGTGCGTTGAACTGAAACAGCACGGGACTCTTTTTGCCTTCCAGAGCAAACCTCAGGAATTTCCTGGATTCTTCTCTTATCGGGACATGCAGGTATGAGTCTTGCAAATCTATCGAGGCCATAAACACCCCAGGCGACAGGAGTTCTTTTACCGTGTATATGAATTCCATATGGAACTTGCTGGGCCTCACGAACTGGTTTACCTTACTCAGATTTAATATCATCCTGTAAAGTACCTGACGGCTTTTTCCTTAGGAAGAAATGGGAGAACACACACTTCCCCTTTCTTCTTCTCTCAACCGGCAGATCACATTCTGTCTGAGCATACTCTGTAGGAGGTCCACCAATGCATCTGCCATGGCCCTGTCCTTTGGCAGGGGTGTTGCAAAGAATCTCTGAGGGGGGGCCCTTGTGAACTCTATTCTGTACCCCCTGTGAATGGCCTCTAGAATGTAGGTGTTCTGGGTTATCCTTAGCCATTGTGCGTGGAAGCGCCCCAGCCTCGCTCCCACCTGGCCTCTCCAGTCACTTTGGCTGGGTCTTGGGTCTATTCTGGCTTGGGTTGAAGAGGAACCCTCCCCTGCCTCTCGGCTCGTTCCTGCCTCTTCTCGCACCCCAGCCTGGGCGCTGGGTCTGGAACCTAGCTTCCCTCGATGCGTACTGCCTGGATGGGCGAAACCCCTTCCGTCCAACTTGCCTGCTGGGGACCGGGAAGCTCTTTTTCCTGTCGGCTGACCTCTCCAGGACTGAATTTAGCTCCGGGCCAAAAAGGAGTTTTCCTTCAAACGGCAGACCACAGAGTTTAGAGTTGGAGGCCAGGTCCCCCTGCCAAGATTTCAGCCAGATAGCCCTCACCGTGTTTATGAGCGCTGTAGATCTGGCAGAGAGTCTGATGGTCTCTGCTGATGCGTCCGCGATGAAGGCTACCGCTTTCTCCAGCGCCGGCAGCAATTTCAGAATCTCCTCCGCCGGGGTGCCTTGTTCCAGATGCGAACGGAGCTGCCCCAACCACACATCCAGGGTTCTGGACACGCAGATCGTCACCACTGCTGGTTTGAAATTCACTGCGGACGCTTCCCATGCTCTCCTCAGGAACGTATCAGCTTTCTGATCCATCGGGTCCTTCAGGGACCCACCGTCTTCAAAGGACAGGTCCGTTTCCTTCGAGATCCTCGAGAGAGGGGCGTCTGGCTTCGGGCAAGTCTCCCAAACAGAGGCATCTTCCTCCTTAAAGGGGAAACTTCTCTTGAGGTTCTTGGGAAGGAAAGCCTTCTCCGGCTCTTCCCATTCCCTCCTGATCATGGACCATAGGGCAGGGTGCACTGGGAATGTACGGCTGCTTTTTTGTCTGTAGCCCTGCGTACAGTTGGTCGTGGAGAGAGAGAGTTCCTGCTGTTCCTCCTCCAGATCCAGGGTCTCGTAGATCATTTTTAACAGGTCCTCCGTGTCTTCCGCCTGAAAAAGGAACCCGTCTGCCTTTGGGCCCTGAGCTTCAATCTCACCCTCCTCCGAATCTGAGGTGCCCGACTGTTCGGCCTCTTCCCAGTCCCTTACAGCCGCTACCTGGTCCAGCTTCCTCTTTTTCCCCCCCTTGGGTGCTACCAGAAGTGCCCGGTTGGGGCTCGTCCTGGGCCGGCCCCGGCTTCTGTTCCCTGAAGCTCTGAAATGTCTTGGACATCTTGCGTCATTCTGTAGGAAGTCTTTAAAAAGAGATCCAGACTCCTTCTTGATGAGCTTGTCTATACACCCCTGGCAGAGCTGCTTCCTCCAGGAGCTCGCCAGCTTCTTCCTACAAGTGGCACACTTTTTCTGCTCACAAGGAGCTTCTTTCTCCCCTCTATCCTCCTCCTGTGTGTGGGGGTACCCCATTATCCCGGGGGGGAGGGAGGGGGGAAAAAAAAAAAAAAGAAGAGTGGCCAAAAAAGGCCCTTACCTTACCGCAGACCTCACCCGGCCCTGACAGATCTGCCTCCATCCTGCCGCAGACTCCTCGGTGCGGCGGTTTTTCAGGGACTGGCGGGCTCCGCCCCCCCCCCCTGCGATCCCCACTCACCGACCTCCCTCTCACGGCCGCCGGTGGAGAAGCAGTCGTGGCACGGGTTCCTTTCGCGGTCCGCCGCCCATTTCCAATATGGCGGTGGCCGTTCCATGCTCCTGCGCCGGAAGCGACGCGATTGCAGCGTCCTGACCCTCCGCAGCCGCGCCTCCTGGCCATGCTGCCGGGATCCAGGAGCAGGTAAGACTTACCTGAAACTCGCGCAGGGAAAGGCACCAATGCCCCGGTCGGCGGAGCGGGCTCTACCCCCCTGGAGAGCCCCGCTGGGACCATCTGGGGTCCGACGCCCCCACCCTAAAAAGGGCATTTTAGTATGAACCTGGCTGAAAGGTCCCCCCCACAAGGCCCCTGCCTTGCTTGGAGAAGGGGAAGACCCTCAGCCAGGGACCCTCTGTACTCCAGAGAGACCCAGACAAAAATAAAAAAAAAACGGGAGTAGCTCCTTCCTGGCCGGAGGAAACACTAAAACTGGGGGCCAATGGGAGAGAGGACGCCTATAAAAAGGAAAAAAAAAAAAGGAGCGGGTGTTTCCTGGGAGGAGCCCTATCTCTCAAGTGAGCTGTCCTAGAAGATGACTAGGGAAAAATGACCGCTTTAAAACCAGACAGGTGGCAATCCTAAGAAGCAGCCAGTGTGGAGGATAAAGGCCATAGTCATGAATTTTAACCTACCAAGTGACGTTAGGACTCTTTCAGGGTCGCTTTCACCAGCTACATTGTACTGTCCATGACGAACAAGGAAAATGTGACGTCTGGCCCTCGCTTTATACTTTTTTAGTTCGCTTTTCAAATCTTCCTTACTTCCTCTGAGGTCATTTAGATTGATCAGAGATCTTGGTTCACGTCTACAAGGTGTTGGGGGAATAAAAAAAAAAAAAAAAAAAAGCCACACACAATCATGTTAGTGGGTCAGTTCAAAGGCAGGGCAGATACTTAAATCTTAGTCTACTTTTGAAATCTCAGTACACAACTCCCAAATGTTAACATTTGGGAGTTTACACTTCTGGGTGTAGTCAAAGTCACATTTTCCTACTGAAGACAAAAGGGGGGGGGGGGGGGGGATACTTTCAAGTGACAAAACAATCCCAATGCATAGCCTCTATAGCCACTAAATAGCCCTATGCACTTTTGGAAATAGTTCCACTTTTACTTGACTCCTTGTCATTTGAGCTCCCAAACCTCTCCTTCACCTCTGGAAGTGCAACCTAAGGTTGCAGGAAAAACCAAACAAAAAAAAAACCAAAAAAAAAAAAAAAAAAAAACACAAAGACACCCTAAAGGTTGAAGTTTGTTTTTTTGTTTTTTTTAAAACGGCACATCTGACAGCAGATGCAGTTACTTTAGGGAAAGATCTCAAGCTGGCTATTTTGGTGGGACCCTTTAAAAAGGAGGAGAAGTACAACCAAAGTCAATTTGGCTGTACTTCCGGGGATCACAGGCATGCAGTATCCTGTAACCCATTTTCAGCCACAGCAGGATAAAGCATGCTTTTAGTGTACATCAAAGAGCCATTGCAGGCTGTGGAAAGATTGTGAACATATGGTCAGGTCTCTGCTCAGAGCTGCAGGGAGAACTGAGCAATCAGCAGTGTCTGACCACAGGTCTCAGCCTTAGAGCCAGTGGGGGACAAATGCAGGAACAGATTGATTTTGTATCCATCTAGTATGGAAAAAAAAAAAAAAAAAAAAAAAAAAAACACACACACAAGCTTTTTGTAAAGATAATAGGAGGTGTAGAGTGAAAATTTCCTTCCATTAACACAAACACTGTTTACCACACTATACAATTGCCTTTACATTTTCCAATAATATGTAACAGGAGGATACACCTAAGCAGCCCATTGTTTGTACCTAATCAGGTAGGCCCTTGCACTACATAGTTGATGATAGCTCTAAAGGGTAGTTGTACATGCTTTCCTTACCATAGAATTCTGGAAGTTTCTTTTGGGTGTTATGACACTTTTCTTAAAAGCTACACTCAACTATGTAGTGCAAGGGCTTGCCCCATTTGATACAAATTGTATGGGTGGTTAAGGTGCATCCACCTATTGTGTTTGAAACACTTAGGTCTCATTCACACTTGACCAACTCCTGCCAAACACCCCTATAACATTTGACAGGCGTTAGGGAAGCGTTTTTTTTTAACGCTCCTCAAATGCTCCCAAAACACCCCATGCTCAGTTTTGAGGTGGTTGATGTGTTTGCCAAGCGTTAAAACCATACCACAAACTCCTATAATGAAGTTAAATGGTATTAATGCTCCACAACTACGTTGCAACCACACCCCAACCACCTGCCAGGCATTTGCAGAGCAGCACCATAGACTTGAATGCCTCCTGACTCGACACAAGGCATCAGTTTTGCCATGACGCAACACTAACACTTCCATGTGAGCAGCACTGTGTGCTGCCATGTGCAGAATTTTCATAGGCATTTGAGAAGCGTTAACACTTCCCAAATAACTGACAAAGTTTGTGTGAACATATCCTAGCCTAAAGGGGAGATTATACAGTCACATTGTATAGTATATAGTCACCTTAAAATCCAAAATAAAGCAGAAGTATGAGAAGGAATGCATATACCATCTATTACTTACATAGATGTATGCATTCTTTTCTGTAATGACTATGGTTACCATATAGTCCCATTTTACACATAGCACAAAACATAGGTGAATTGAGTTTACTTGATACCCCCTTAAAAATAAAGAAATTCTGAAAATCTACTTTGCTCACTATAGGAAGGCTTCCCAATAAGTGGCCTGTAAACTTCCCATAGTCCCACTCTGACTAGTAACATTACTCTACAATATGCCTACAGTCACAGTCAGAAGAGAAATTAAGTTGCCCCAGTCATGGAGTTGCTCATCCCACATGAGATGAGATTCAAACTTTAACCTGCTGATATAAATCACATCTACTACATAAAGAACGCACCGGTCCCAGTTGGGGTCCCAGGTCCTAGTGAAGGTTGGTGGCCATAGCACAGCAGCTGTATTGGCATCTTCCCCACTATGCTTCAGAACTGCTGCAGCAAACAGTGCTGCTCCACCAGCCAGGAAAGCCCTACGCAGGAACATGGTAAATGCTCAACAAACCCACCAACACTTGCAAATACAACCACTATGAGGGGAGGCCTGTCTGCAGACCTTATATAGGAGGCAATGAGGGCAGAGTCCATCTGCAGGCCTTATATAGTAAAGCATTGGGGGAGGAGTCTGTTTGCAGGCATTATATGGTGACAGAGTGCAGGCTTTGGGGGAAAGGCAATGATCAATACCGAAAGGGTGCAATCATAGAAAGATTTGAGGAGATCATTGCTGGCTTTCTACTGGAAAAGCTAGTTCTGCTATCTCTTACCTTCAAGGCATATTCCACATTTTGTAAAAATGTAATACTTGTATCAACATTAATAAAAAAATAATTATGTGTAATAAATATATTATGTGTACATTTATTACATTTTTGCATTATAGCCTGTAGAGCATTGCAACTTCAATCAGTGCAATAGACAGGCTACTGCATTGCTTACCTCCAGGTCTGTATGGAGATATGGACCTTCAGTTATGAGGTTCAAAGAAGTAAAGAATGGACTGCAAGTGTGGCAATGTCATTACTTCTGTGCTCAATTGAGATCTGCGAGTCTCTCTGCTACAGTGGTAGAAGAAACTTGTAATCTCCTTGTTTAGGCTACTTTCATACTGATTGCAAATGTGTATTTGCAGCGGTTTTACTGTGTTTGAGGTGCGATTTTTACAGGACACGTGACTCAAAAAACCACACCAAAAATGCAACATGGATGCATTTTTCATGTGTTTTTGCTGCATTTTCCATTGATTTCAATGGGGAGGTGAGTTTTTGATGCGTTTTTTTTACCACACCAAAAATGCAGCAAGCAGGATTTTAAAAAATGCACCAGACCAGTGTGAAGAGTTCCATAGAATTACACAATCACACGTTATTCTCTCGCTTTTTTAACGCAAAAGTGGAAGAAAAACGGATCAGTGTAAAAGCAGCCTTCTAGATCTCTGACTATGGCTGACACACAGCTGTGATCATTTAACCACTTCCAGTCCGGGTCAATGCTGACATTTCTCTACTACATGTAAAAAAAAAATCTTTTTTATTGCTAGAAAACAACTTTGAACCCCCAAACATATTATATATATATATATATATATATATATATATATTTATTTTAAGTAGAGAATAAAATGATGGGTGTTTTTATCTCACACGGTATTTTATGTCACAGTTATTTCAAACACAAATTTTTTGGGAAAAGAAACATTTTAATTAATTTTAATGCACAAAAAATACAATATAATACCCATTTTTTGGGGTAAAATATAAAAGATCAAGCTATGATAAGTAAATAGATACCAAAAATGTCACACTGTAAAATTGTATGGTACCTAACCTAAAAGCTCCATAGACAATGTTTTAAAAGCCTTTACAAGTTACCAGTTTAGACTAATGCAGGCCATAGACGGGTCGAAAATCAGCAGTTTTTTTAAAAAAAAAAAAAAAAAAATAAAAAAATCAGTCGTTCGATCGGCCAACGTTACCACCAACGGTAAAAAATTGGCCGATTTTCGTCCCGTCTATAGCCGGCATTTAACTCCATAATTACTTCTGTCCCTTGCAGAGACAGGGGAATTTCAGTCCGCTATTATATTTTATATGAAAAGTCTTGCGGTTGCAACAATGTATCCATTTGTATCCATTTCGGATACGGATGTTTTTATTCGGATACAAATAGATACATTGTTGCAACCGCAAGACTTTTCATATAAAATATAATAGTGGACTGTTATTCTTCTTCTTCTTTTTCTTCTTCTTTTTCTTCTTCACAGCTCATGTGCAGATTTTTTATTGGTAAAATGATCAGCCGATCGTCAAAATTGGCCGCAAATTTTCTAACATTACCGATAAAAAAAATGTGCCAAAACCTGAAAAAACGGCCGACCAATTAACCCACTAACAATGTGAAAATCGGCCAGGTGTTTTTTCGGCCGAAAAATCGGTCGATTTTCGACCCGTCCATGGCCTGCATTACCCGTCTCATTGGCCACGCATGTGACCCCACCCCATGTGACATCATTGATGTCACATGGGGTGGGGTCACTTGGATGATGTCCCTGGGTGGCCCCACCCCTTACATATGTAAGAACTGTCAACCAGGCTCACAGCAGAGGGCTGGGCAGCCATCGTTGGGAACAGAACCTTTTTTTTTTTTTTTTTTTTTCGGGTCGCCGGCAGCAGGCTTTGTGATTGACGTTGGATCTGCTTCGGGGGGCATTCTTTTAGATTTTTCTTTCATTAAAGGACTTGTCAAAGACCATGTCTTGTCTTTTTTTACACTACACTTTTTGTTTTTTTGTGAATGAGTAGCGGTACCATGTACCCCATACTCATTCACATAGGGCAGGGGGTCCTCAAACTTCCAGTTCACTGTCCCTCAGACCATTAGAGGGCTGGACTATAGTTTAAAAAAAAAAACTATGAACAAATGCGGACACAGTACAGGAGATGACCAGAGACTGCGGACATAGTACATGAGACGACCAGAGACTGCGGACATACAACAGTGGCGGGAATACTGGTCCGGCCGCTCCATAAGACGCACAGACATTTCACAAATGTGTCTTATGGAGCGAAATATACGGTAAATGCAGGACACCTTGTTGGGTTAGATCTGTGTACAATGTAAAGAGAGATGGGGGTGAGAGATAAGGAGGGGAGAGAGAGAGGAGGGGGGATAGAGAGAGAGGAGGGGGGGGATAGAGAGAGAGGAGGGGGGAGGGAGAGAGAGAGGGGAGGGGGGAGGGAGAGGGAGAGGGGGGA